AGCATGGAGAGCGCTCAGCTCCAGGGCAAGAGCCACACGGAACGTCCCACGCTTCCCTCCACCGCCCTCCCCGCGATGGGAGCGTGCTCCCGCCGTCCGTCCCCTCTGCACATCCCCCCTCAGTCCCTCCCGCCGGCGACAGCCCAGGATTTCAGCCCCATTTGAGCTGCAACTTAACGACCTGCCCCTGGTCCGGATACCCCAAAGTCTTGGAGCTGCACGTTCCTCCCCCATCCCACCTTGGCTCTGCTCCCCCCGTGCTCCCAGCGCTCAGCACCAGTACGGAGCAGCCAGCGTTTTGCCAACGCACCCTCCCCTGGCCGCTCTCCTCTGGGACGAGCCCACTCCCACATCCCTCGGAGACACCGTGCTGGTGGCCAAGAGGCTTGTTCACGCGGGAGAAAAGGCCACAGCAGCACGTGGCTGCTGCTCCCAGGGGTGTAGCCCAGCCCCGTGCTCCCAGAATCAGTCCCCGATGGACGGAGGAAGAGACCTGCCGGGCTCATGGTTTCTTGGAGGCTCCCGAGCCACCCTCCAGAGCTTTCTTGGCTAAAAGTGCCTTCTCCTCCTTCATCTTCTTCAGCCTGACCTTGCTTTTGCTGGAGGAGAAGGTGAGCGAGGCCTTGCTGAACTCCAGGGGGAAGACGCCCACGTCCCCATCGAAGCGGTTCTTGGACACCTGCAGGTAGCGCTTCCCGGGCCCCGTCACCAGCTTACGGTCCTGCAGGATGAGGACGTTGTCGGCCTCCTGGCTAGCCTGAGGGAAGAAAGAGGGTGCTGGGGATGCAGCCGGAGGCACGGGGCTCGGAGGTGCTTGCGGGTTGCCTGCCAGGGTCCTTCGAGCCCCGTTACGGGGCATCCCAGGCCACAGCAACTCCAGCACCTCCTGCCCACTACGCAGGGTCGTTCCACATCACGGCAAAGACCGGAGCACTCAGAGCCCATCCCTGCACCCTCCCTGGCTCCTTCTTTAATTATCTCATCCGACATCCCACTCACAGTCAATAAGCGCTAATTAACTGCTCCGAAAGCCCAGCAGAGCTTTAGCTGGCGATGGGTTCCCTCCCTGCCTGCATCTCCCAACCAAGGCCTGGCCAAATTGGGACTCCGCACATCTCTGGAAGGGGACAGGAGTCTTGGAGACATCCTGCCCCTCCCAGCACCTTTCAGGTGCCCAGCGATGACTCAGGGTGCTGGTGGGAGGTGAGGACGGCCGCCTGACGTATCCCAAGCGCTTCCTGGGAACAGGCCGCGCCTGCGGGACAGGAAGGGCCAGCCTGGCTCACCTTGGCAGAGCCGAAGATGGAGGCCGTCTGCAGCTCCTTCTCGTCGTCCTCCTTGCGGGGATGGATGACCAGCGTGATGTGGCAAGTGTGGTCCGTGGCAAACTTGCGGAAGGCACCGACGATGTAGTCCTGGGCGGCGAGCCTGCGACGGCAGCGAGAGCGGGTCAGTGGCCG